TACAATTTCGCAGTGGACTGAACTGCACAGACACCACAGGACGGCAGGATGTATGCAAGTACGAGAGAGATTATAAAATGATAACTGGGAATAACGGAGTGAAAAACTTCAAACAAGCAAAAATAAATTATGAAGCAAACAAATCAATTCATTCAATCACGCAACGTGCGGAGATCTGATTGCATTTGAATCCAGTCAGTGCAACAGTGTCAGGCACTATGTAATAGAAAAACTATTGTCAGAAGTGGGATTTGAACCCACGCCCGGAGAACCGGACTGCGACCTGAACGCAGCGCCTTGGACCGCTCGGCCATCCTGACTTATGAATGCGTGTTTATATGTCGATGAGTGAATCTTTTCTGGGTATATGTAAGTTAATGTGTGTGTCTTTGTGCGTGTGTATGTCTAGGTCTACGTGTGGGGGTTCATGTATGTATTTTTACGTATGTATGTTAGAGTGTACATGTGTGCTTATTGTTCTTCTACGTGTATATAAACAAATTTCTATTACTCTACTATAATATTTCAGTTTGTGTTTATGAGTTTATGTTGTTGTTTATGCTTATATGTTTGTGTTATTGCTTGTTTGTTTGTTTGTTGGTTCTCATGCTGATGGTTCGACGTGTGTTGAATCTCCCACGAATAACCACTGATCCGTTGGAATTTAATGCACCATCCGCTCATCACTGTTAACTAATTTGGCCATTTTTTTTCAAATGGACAGCCAGCGAAATTTATTTGCTTTCGTTTTAAAAAATAGAAGCTCCCTCTCACTTTTCCTCACTATCTCTCACTTTCACTTTCTTTTTCTTTCTTTTTTCTCGTTATTTCCTTTCCATGATAATATGTATGAAAGTTTATGGAAAGATAAATCAAAACTGACACTTTTTGAAATATTTTAGGACATGAAACTATTAAACACACAATAAACAGCAAACGCATTGGTGAAACGCATAGACACGAACGCACAAAAAAGCATCTATACGTGTACAACAAGCATGTGTAAATGCGTTCATGCACGCACATACAACCGCCAGCAAACGAACATACATTCAGTAAGACACGCCGGTCAACTCTCCTGAAATCTTGCACACGGACGAACAAAATCCAACCTACAGAAGAACATTGCATGCAAATAAATAACATGACACACGATGGCACACCAGAATCACACTCAAACAACCACACACATACACACATGCATACAAACGCTCACAACCACAGACACTTTCATGTACCTACGCACGTATACACATACTCTCACACACACAAACGTACTAACGCACACACACAAGCATATCCAAGTACACAAGCAATTACATATCCACACACACACACAAGCAGAGAGATACAGACACGTAGACATAGAGAGACAGAGGAGCGCATGCATTAGTGCCAATTAGGACATGTCGTTGTTTATTATTCTTTGCCTACCTCTGCATATTTAGCGCTAAAAGCTGCTTCGTTCGCAGAGCTTTTAGCATCAATTTGCTCTCTTTTGCTTGCTCCCTTTCATAAAATATCTCCCTTCCTATGTGTTTCTTTGTGTGTGTGAGTGTGTCTGTCTGTCTGCCTGGTTTCGTATGTATGTATGTGTTTGATTTCGTTGTTTGTACATATGTTTATATAAAAAAAAATAATAATTTTGCTATATTTGATAGAATTTCATATTCATGGTTATGCGTGTTTTGACAAAATTGTAAACTTTTCAATTTCATCTTGAAATGAATTCCTCCGAGAACGCATTTGATGTTTCACTGGTCGGTGGACGTTCGGTGGAATCTGGTTTTCCTCGCTCCAAAGTACCCAACAGATAAACTTATGAATGATTATTGTCTCGTTGATGTTATTCATTTGCCGGAGTTTCATTTTTTTTCCGAAGAACAATACAAAAACTGGGACAGCAGAAATGTTTGACATTTGTTTATGCAGGTGTAGGCTGTGCGTTTGGAAAAATATGGATGATGTCTCCTCAAATAATTTTTCACGTGAGGTTACGTGTGCTGGCTGTTGTTAGGTTGTGAGTGAGCCACGCGTGTAAACGTTCTCGTCATTGTTGATTAACATGTGGTTATAAGTTGTTGATGTTGTTGTTGATGTTGTTGTTGTTATTAACGTTGTTGTTGTTGTTGTATAATTTATGAGCATGTTAAACGATTGTGGCGTGTGCGTCTGATCTGTCATTGGATGATTATGCGATGATGTTATGATGATGATGATGATTATGCGATGATGATGATGATGATGTTATGATAATGCTGTTTTTTGTGAAATGATGTTCATGACTGTGTGATATTGATAAGCTCGATGAAGAGGGTAGTGATTATGATGTTGTTAATGACCATGATGATGATGATGTTGCTGATGACAAGACGACGATGATGATAATGTTAAAGATTGTTATCTCTATTAAGATGAAGACAATAATGGTGATGTTGATAATGACTGTGATGCTAATATTGATAAAGACGATGATGGTGATGATGACGTTGATGATGATAATAACTATGAATATGATGATTAAGCATATTATTCTTCAGCTAACAGAGAAAATGGGATGATACTAAAGGCTTCAATAGTAATAATGACCTGGGTATCTTACTTAAGTATTGTTAGCACCGTTAAGTTTATGTTGTGTTGTTGTTACTTCTTATAAAGTATAAACCAAGTAACTCTGACAAGTACATCAAGTATATTAATTATACAGTCAATATTTTTCAGAAAAAATCAAATTGAACCGGTGCTCGTCATGAATTTCGTTCTACCCGGTTATTTTCAATCTTACATCTTTTAAGATGTCACGTGATTGAAGTATGGAAAACATGCGTGAGTGTGTAGTCTGTGATCGCACGTATGGTGGGATGTGGAGCCATGGAAGTCCTGCTACAACAAATAAGCCGAGGTTCCGAGGAACCAAAGAACTAATTTTTTGTTAAGTCTTTGAAAAATGTTTAGCCAACAAGTTTAGCCACATAACATTTCAACAAAAGTTTTAAATTAAAAAAAATTTAGTCACATACTTTTTATTAAAACGAGCAAATGAACCGACTTGTTCGGTCTGTGCTAATTTAGGCTAGGTTTATTCACACCTGTTTCTCCTGCATCTCTCATTTAGAGGACGTCTATTACAACGATTTAAAGCATATTGTACATTTCTATTTCTGTACACCTCTATTTTTTCATTCGTACTCTTTCTATCTTTTTGTATCTTCATGCATTTTTATGTTATGTTGAAAATATTTTTATTAATTTCCATTTTATCTCTGTCTGGATACAAATTTACCAATTTGTTTGATAGGCTAATTAAGAATTTGTTCTTAATGGTTGTAATATTTGTGAATGCTTTTGGATGTCTAGTGAAGTACGTGTGTTGTGTGTATTAAAAGTTTTTGGATGTACGTATGTGTACGTAAGTCTGCGTGTGTGTACATGTGGAGATGTGTGCATGTGCATCAGTTAGTTGGTACGTACGCATGCATGACCATAAATCTCTGCACTGACAAGAACATAGATGGTAGATAGTGCTGGCTGGCTGGCTGTCTACTCCTTGATTGATTACAGCTTCATCTTGCATTATACATTATAATTACATATATGATGATATATACGTCTATATTTATAAACAGGTACATGCTAGCCACACGATATGTAGTGACGATAAACCTATGTATATAAATTTAAATATAAATGTATGGAAAGAGAAGGAAAAGAGAGGTAAGCGAGATGATAGAAAGATTTATTGAAAACTAGTCACAAAACAGGTGTTATGCAGATTGACACTTGTTGCTCCGCCTAGAAAATCGATCACATCATTTTTATTGGCTGTTGCCAGGATGCAATGCTTCTCCTCTCAGCCAATAGGAACGAAGTGTTGTTGATGATGTCAACCTATCCGTTAGTTGCTGAAGCAATTTTTGTTCCATAGCCTCATCGCATCGTCATCGTCATCATTTCCGTGATCGTCATCGTCGTCTTCACCATCTGCATTTATAGAGCAGTTGCAGAGGTGGAAGAGCGGATATTTTGCGGTTGTCGTGGCGGTGAATTGTTGGGTGGTTGCCGCGCGCTGAATGCAGGTTGATCGTTCCTTTGTTGACTGCTTTCCAGTAAACAACATTATTTGCAATATAAAATCAAATTATTAATTTGATGTTAACCGAAAATTCAAAGTATTTGATTTTTATTATATTATGGTTTTATTAAAAATTAATATTAAATATACTGAAAAAAGTTTAAAATATAAATTTAATATTTTTGTCCGAGTTATACTTAAACATAACCAACAAAAATAAAAAAAAACTCATAACCATACCTCAAAAAAGTCGAAGTATTACGGAAATATAACCCAATCTGCCACCCAACACATATTTGTAGTCCCATTTACAACATTTCATCCTTTTTTCAACAAATTATATGCTATTGCTACTACAGGCCAAAAACAAAAAATGATTCTTTAAAATATATTTCAACCACTGTTCGAAAGCAGTTTATACATTGTGAATAAAAATACATCAAGACATCAATTGTATTAAAATCATAACAGCTTATTTATTAATTAATTAATCATAAAGGACTTTGGATCATTGTTTTATTTGAAATCTGAGTGAAGTTTAACTATATCTCAAAAATTCCGCCATTTTATTATGACCCAATTTGGAAAGGAAAACGGGATGAAATGTAGGTCAAAATTTTTTGATTTGAAAATTTTTAATATTTTTATCTTTCTTTCTGTGTTTATTTGATTATAATTTTTATGGTTAATCACAAAATAAAATTCCTCTGACAAATACTTTTTTAAATTGTAATCATTTAAATTGACACAAATTCAACGTTTATTAACTTCCCTAACAGCTGGAAACAACAACAACTCTAGCAACAACCATCATCATCATCATTCTTCTCCTAGCAATCATCATCACCACCACCATCACAACAGCAACAACAACTTCAACAACAACAACAACAACTTCAACAACAACAACAACAACACAAGCAACAACATGCTGTCAAACTGTGCTGGATGTGGAAGCGAGATACTGGACCAGTACATCATGAAGGTATACCCCGACATGTCCTGGCATGCTTCCTGCCTCAAGTGCTACGAATGCAATCAATTCCTCAACGAAAGTTCAACCTGCTTTGTTAGGCAAGATAAGACGTATTGTAAAAAGGATTATGTTAGGTTCGTTTCGTTTCGTTGGCTGCCTGATTGATTTTATAATTTGTTGATTGATTTTATAATTTGCTGATTAATTTTTTTAATTTGTTGATTGATTTTATAATTTGTTGATTGATTTTATGATTTGTTGATTGATTTGTGATTGGTTTATATTTGATCAATGGCCTTGATGATTTTATAATTGGTAATAATTAATTGTTGTGCTGCTTATAACTCATTGTAAGTTCTGTCCCATTTGTTAAATTCTATGAAATCTATGTTTGATGCAATGAATTCACATGAAGCTTCGCTTTGTTTCACTTCATTTGCCTGGTATGTTTGATCAACAGGGAGTAGGCTCGATCATCACAGTTGTAGGATGACCATAATGATGATGATGCTATTGATGATGATGATGATAATAATAATAATAATATTAATAATAATAGCTTATAATGGGCTCAAACTAAGAAGTCAATCTTCCCATATCTGAAAACATAAGTCATATTACAGAATATATATATATATATATATAATAAAACAATGTTGTCCATGTTATAAACAAAAATAAGCCATGTAACAGTATGTGAAAGCCAAACGAATGATAAATAACTAGGTAGTGTGTTTTGAAGAAGTTCACTAAGCTGAAACTAAATTCAGGCAGTAGGCTTTATGGCCAATTACAAATACATGTGTTATGCCTATATGGCCAATTACAAATACAAACAAATTTTGTTGTATGTATCGTGTTGAAACTCCAAGAATCTTATTTATAATTAAGAACTTTTAATTGTAAAAATTCGCAAAGAGTTTGTGTTACAAGACAAATTGAAATTTTTTAGATGACCTGAGCAAATTGAAAAGTTCATTTTTCAATAGTCATTTTATAACTTCACAGATTGTTTTAAAAGCACAATGTATTGAAACTTAGTGACGTCAAAAATAGCCATGTTATCTGATATGGCATAATGTTATGCTGACTGACTGACTGAATGCCTCTTGAACAAGCAAACAAGTACATAGGCACGCACACACATACATACATCCACACACACACACACACACAAGCAAACAAGTACATAGGCACGCACACACATACATACATACATACATACATACATACACACATACATACATACTTATACATACATGCACACAAACACAGAGACACGAAGATCACTTATAAGAATAGGAAAATTTACGTTAACTTTCATTTAAAAACTTGGATACAGATTTGCGTCAAACCGCTTATCAAAAATCATAAAAAAAAGCAGTAGCAAAAAGCACAAACATAAACATCACGTTTACAAAAGAGCACACTTGCAAACGCGCATAAACATACACAGACGTACACACATACATACGCACACGTACGATTTGTACATACGTACGTACGCAAACTTCAGTTTACCTTCATGTCAATCATCCAGCGTAACGGAACACACATTCAATCATTTCAGTCGCCCTGACAACCTCGTATTGATATAGCTATCATATAACATAACTTTTTAAATATCATAAAACTTGATAGTTTATCTCAAAAATATCATGATGTGTCGTATAACTATCATAAAACCAGAGTTTTAGGCACATGTATCTATCGAATAACTCCCATATATCATCATACCTATCACACGCTATCTAGTTACCTTTATATACCATAAGATTACATTTAGATACTAGTCATGTACCAAACAATCCTTATGTTTAATCTTTATTTTATGTATTTTAACACTATTTATTATTTAATAAATCAGTAAAATTTTATAAAAAATAAAAATTAAAACTTTGAAATTTTCAAATCATTTTAATAATAGTGAGTTTCTTGCAAAGTCAACATTTACACAGCCGTACATAGCAAGTGCAGCAATATTATTGTAGCAATTGAACATTTTGTACTAGCAATGTTATGGCGGGGAACCATATTTTTGTTATTAGAAGAACTAGAATATTTTCAAATGTTTAAGTTTTTGCACAAGAAAAAAATCCATTAACAATAAATACTAAACCAAATTTAAATGAAATATATAAAAACGAAACCCTCTGTACACTTGAAACAAACTCTAAAATGCTCGCAAATAAAATGTAGAGCCCATAATAGCATTGAGAAAACACATATAAATGACAAAAACAACACATAAACACACACACAACACACACACAAATTTCAAACAGACTTTTTGCCACGAGATGTCGCCTGTGTCAGGCAGAGTTCAAAGAGAACGACCTGGTGATGCGAGCGCGAAACCACATCTACCATACGGACTGCTTCCGTTGCGTCGCCTGCCACAGGATTCTCAGTAGCGGCGAGGAGTACTGCATCCGGGAGAAAGGGATCTACTGCAAAGTTGACGTCATATCCATCGACAAACAGGAAGAGGAATGCCTGGGTGCAAGTGCTAAGACGAACTACCGATCGGCTCGTAACAACATCAGTAATAATAACAATAGTAGCAACAACCGTAGTAACAACAGTAGTAATACGAGTAACAGTAATAACAATATTAGCAATGATGACGACGACGACGATGACGATGATGGTGGCGTTCCAATGGAAGAGGGTGCAGATAAAAGTAGTAATGGAGGGCTGGAAGATTTGAAAGGTAATGACTTTTATATGAATGTCATTGCAAGAATGAATGAAATGGTATTAAAAAAATTATTATATAACCAATTGTTTATTTCAACAAATATTCCAATCTCTACTTTTGAATTGAAATAATATTTTTTAGCACGCTTGTCAACCTTGAGAACAACGTCACTATTGATTTCACACTTCAACCATATCCACCACCACTTCGAAACATCTCATTAAAAACATCACGAAACAACAACACAAACGTTCACAAATTTTATGCATGTTTCAATTTAACAACAGATTCTGACACATGTGTGCTAACATCAGCCAACAACATCAGCAACATTAACAACAACAACAACAACAGCAACAACAACGGCAAATCGACGACAGGAAAAGGCTCATCTCGGTAACTTTCTTTTTTCACTCTCTCTCTCTTTCTCTCTTTCATTCTTTTCTTTCTTCATCTCTCTCTCTCTCTCTCTCTCTCTCTCTCTCTCTCTTTCTTCCTTATCCGTTTTTCGTTTGCTCGCTTCTTTCTTTCTCGTCTTCCTTCCTTTTTTAGCCTTCTTCTACAAACATTTTTAAAATCTATCTTTGATGTTTTCATTTAAAATAATATCTTTTTTATAAGGTAGAAATAATTGTTTGTTTAAATAATGTTATATTTTCAGATTCTCTTTTCATAGGTAAATTTATTTTATCAATAATGAACGAGTGAAATAAAACATTTCGTTCATTATTTAAATTAAATTTAGTAAAATATTTGAAGAACAAAGAAAATAATTTTGAGCAGTAGCTATCCAACTTAATAATGCAGTACCATACCACGTTCTACGTTAATCAAAAGCGTTGAAAGACAAAAATTATTACGATCTATTCACTGATGATTTTATATATCAGAATATCTCATTGGATATTATCACAATTTGTTGCAAAATGTTTAATCGTGTAAAAACTTGAGGTTTTTCCAAGACAAAAATGTAAATAAAATTAAAATTTTATATTCGAGTAAATATTCGTATAAATAGAACAACCTGACAACATCTATCTAACTATTTAACAAACTGGGTGTACAAACATCTCGGCAAACATTAAAATATTCAACACTAACACAAATAATTCCGTCATACGTTCAACCAGCCAACAACCGTCCAACAAACGCAGTTCCAGGTCCCACAAATCCGACCATAAGGCCACCAGGGTTCGAACAGTTCTGAACGAGAAACAGCTGCACACCTTGCGGACATGCTACGGTGCCAACCCTCGACCCGACGCCCTCATGAAAGAACAACTCGTCGAAATGACAGGTCTCAGTCCAAGAGTCATCAGAGTCTGGTTTCAGAACAAACGATGCAAAGATAAGAAGAGGACGCAGTTGTTGAAGCAGATACAACAGCAGCAACAGGAAAAGGTTTGTCATTTGTTTTTATTCAATTATCTAATTGGTTGGTTGGTAGTTATTTTAGACATTAAGACAGATGAGTTAATTAATTGTCTTTTGTAAAAATGGTTTATTCTTTGTTTTTTACTTCATTTCTATGTATGCTTACAAATACTCATTTATCCAAACATGCACTCTTGTACGTACACGCAAATATAAATGTTTGCTACCGCCGTTCACCTTCCAGCCAATCTAGAAACATGTTGTTCCCATCACGTTCTGACCTGCCTGGCTGCCTGCACTTATTTTTTGCCAGCCGAACTGAAGCTGTTAATACATGAGCGTGAAATTCTTTACTAAAATATTCCCGAGAAGTCTGTGTGAGCTCCAAATGCATCGGTGTTTAAAGAATTAACGATTCATCGCTATGTGTTCAACTGTTTTGTACAAATCCTTAATACAACCGTGATGTATGTTCTCTTTCAACTGATGTATGCAAGTTATTTATAGAGCAGTTCTAAAAGTATTGAGTCGCAGTACGTTGCAAAATTTCATATTACGAGTTTGCTCGTCCATCTGCCGAAATATTTGCGCACACGATGAGAGTGTTGGCATGAAGATTTCAGGTTATTAGAGCACACATGTCATTGAGGTGCAAGGTCATTTGAAGGTCATTGGCGATGACGTGGCTAATTATTCAAATGCTGACGAACAATCAGCTTTTACATCAACCATTTCAAATACTAATAAAACATTCTTAAGAATATGATAAATAGTAATCAGTCATAAACAAGAAACATGTTACAATAAAAGCATTAAACAAGCAACTGAACAAGCAAACAGTTGCTGGTTATAATGTAACAAACAGCTTCAATTCAACTGCTGCATCCATCACAGCGTAACTTTTTACTTTTCTTTTCATCTCTTTCTCTCTTTTCTCAAATTTCTATCAGATTTTACATCTTTTTCATGATCGAAATTGCACCTTATCTCCTTCAACCTTCTTCCCCCTCAACGTTTTCTTTCTTTCTTTTTTTTTCTATCTTTCACTCACTCTCCCTCATCATCATTCGGTCATTTAATTTGTTGTTATCATGACTGCAATCATCACCATCTTCATCACCATCTTCATCACCATCTTCATCACCATCTTCATCACCATCTTCATCACCATCATCGTCATCTCATCGTCAGCGCTTTCACTATTGCAATCTTTTGGCATCATCATCATTATTATCGTCATCATCTTCATCCTCACCACATCATCATTATCATGGTCACCATCTTTCTCATCGCCATCAACAGCATCGGCAAATTTTCTCAAGTACAATTATGTAGCGCGCAATTTTCAAGAAGCGTCGCGAAAAGAAAATTATTCTCAATTATCTTCTTTCCTGTTCAGACTTTCTCGCGTGCATACCATCTTTGTTGTATATACAATGCACCCACCTCACATGCTACAACAACGCAATTACAGCAACATTAAATAAAACCATACATACATACATACACACATACATACATACATACATACATACATTCCTGCGTGTCTGTGTGCTTGAAAATATCTAACTGAATGCCGACATGTGCAATTAACGACAAATCAAAGTGTTAATCCATTTGTTACTTGATGTTTGACGGTTTTGGACTCATCATGTTTTGGTTTTAACATACATACATACATACATACATACACACATACATACATACATACATACATACATACATACATACATACATACATACATACATGCATACATACATACATACATACATACATACATACACACACACACATACATACATACATACATACATAACGAAGGCAATTATTTAAAACAAACTCTTTCACTTTTATTACAAAAATTTAATTCCTTTTGCATTCTGGATGGAGCTGCTAGATACCTGACTGTGCGAGACCAGGGACATAGATAAAAGTTGAACTCGGAAACGATTGCATGCCTAACCATGGCTTGTTCATCAAAACGGGTTCATACATACATACATACATACATACATACATACATACATTCATACATACATACATACATACATACACACACACATACATACATACATACATACATACATACATACATACATACATACATACATACATACATACATACATACATACATACATACATACATACATACATACATACATGGATACCAGATTTCAAAACGTACAAATTTCTAACACTCGTGACAGATACATGTTTTTGTTTGAAATTCATAAGAAATTTGAACACTTTTATATTTTAAAAATTACTTTCATTTAAATTATTATTCAAATTCAATTTTATAAATAAAAAATGATTTTTAATTTCAACAAACAGGGCGAGAATTGTGATATCGATGACGCTATGTGGTTGAAGGCCAAAGTAGGCAGTTCATTATTTGCTGTTTTAAATGGTGTTGCGGTTGTTGTTAATGTTTTGTTGTTGTTGTTGTTATTAGAGTTATTGTTGTTGATGTAGTAACTTTTGTTAATGTTTTGAATGCTATTCTTGTCGAATTCGTTTCAGCTATTGTGTTGTTTGTCGCGATGCCAGGGTCGTTGTCAGTTGTACGACTACGATTTCCTAATTGTTTGTTGTTGTAGATGGTTCTTGAAACATTTTTGTTTTTTTTTTATAAGTTAATAGTCTTGTTTTAGACAGAAAAATATTTCAATTTACTCCAAATGTTGTAGTTGTTGGTTATTTAAATGCACCCTTATAACAATGTGAAGAAAATCTCATGTTAACAACAAACTCCAAATAACAGGGTTCGACCATGCTGGCATTCAGCCCAGAACCCCCCCAGCCGTGGTTGCCACCTCTCGACCACAATCTTTTCCACTGGAAGAGTTTAATGGAGGATGAACAACAACAACAACTTCAACAGCAGCAGCAACAACAACTCCAACAACACCAACAATTACTGACCTACCAGCATTTAATGAGAGGGGGGTATGGATTAATTAATGGTGATCCGCTGTGTGGGGACGACGATGATGACGCCATTGTCTGTTTGAAAGAGCCCCACAGAAATATTATCGGGCCGATGGATTTTGAAGACGACGTCGTTAACACGTGAATTACTTGGTTAGTTGGTTGGTTGGTTGGTTGGTCGGGTGGTCGACCAGCCGGTCAGTCTGCCAATCGATCAATTGGTGTTCTGGTCGGTGGTTGATTGGTTGATCACTTCATTGGTTGTTGGTTGAGGAATAAGAGGATACGATGTGTTTATTCCCTGGTTCTCTCTTCGATTTGTTGCTTGAATGTCAGACTGATAAGCTGATAATAAACTTGTATGATTTTCGAACGATTGATGTTTATTTGATGAGTTTTTGATCTGATTGGCTGACTGATTGTAACACTAGTTGATTACCATAAAATGTTCAATGTTAAATATGAAAAACATAAATTATGACCAACCAGTGCAATCCCTTATTTTTAACACATTCCAAAATTATTCCATTTTCACAACAATTTATTACGTATTATTTATGATTGAATATTTTATAAATTTATACTTGTATAATATACATTGATACATACACTCACACACTCACACACACACACACACACACACACACACACACACACATGTATATATATATATATATATATATATATATATATATATATATATATATATATATATATTTGTTGTAGCATAAAACCCGCAATAAAGTGATACAAATGTTGTATAGTCATTTATTTATTTATTTTATTTTTTCAAATATTTAATTAATTAATTTATTTATTTACTGATTGATTTATTTGTTTAATTATTTATTTCTAAAATATTTGTATCGTAAAATCTGATTGTCTTTTCATTAAACCGAATCTAATGATGATATTATTTATGTTTTTTCTGTATCTATCTAGATTTTTGGTTACATTTTTTAAATTGTAAATTTTTATAAATTATAAACTGAAGAGACGCGTGGATAATTTTAAAATTAATCTTATTTATTTTGAATTTTAATATTTCAATTATTGATTAAAATAATTTGTATACAAAATTATTCCTGACTTTCATTCATTAATAACACTAAATGTACAAGCTAGCAACAAACATAGCAATAGCAACAGATCTCTCTCTCTCCTTCTTTCTCTCTGTGTGTCTGTGTGCGCGAGAAAGTTAGTGTGTGTGTGTGTGTGTGTGTGTGTGTGGTGTGTATGTGTGTGTGTATTGAATCAGTATTAAATTAAACAAAACAAGTAAAATTTTTCAAAAACACACCAGCGTCAAGTTGAAAAACCAACTACCGACCGATATGAAGGTGAAAAACATTTCAAAGAAGTTGTCTAAAAAATAGAATTATTAATAAATAATAAAATAATGCAATTAATTTTTTAAAAAACGAACAAATGTACACTCAGATGCCAAAATATGATTTCATAAAAATGTGCGCGCGATGATTTGATGCAAACGTTGCAAGCGGATAATTGAGAAGAATGAAAATCTGATAGGAGAGGACCATCACGCCATACGTGTCATTTCATCATTTCAGCATTCTCCTCTCAAACAAATGTTAAAAATATTATCAACGAGATTGCACAACGGGACACGCATAGAAACACTTTTACACAGACATACAAACATATATTTAAAAACATGAAAGCATACGAATCTTACACACACAAAGTACGAACAAATATGCAGGCAAACATGCAAAAGTATGAACAAACACACAAACAAACAAACGAACAAACGAACATGCAAAGAATCAAAGAAGTAGAACGACGACTGAATGTTGTGGCGAGGCAGAAATCAATTACCACTTTTAATAACGATTTCTCATGTCACTCAAACTCGCCACGCACGCTCGAACATACCGTAAGCACATGTATACAATATATTAGTTGTATATAAAACTAAATCGTACATAAATGTACAATAATACAAACACAAGTACAAATATATACACTCAAATAAACCGCACGCACACACACACACGCACACACGAGTGCACACACAAATCTATACATCAAACTGTACAATGTACATTTTGTATATTTATACAAACAAATACTTTCTCAGACTTGCACATATAATATGAGATCTCAAAGCATTGTCATCCACGTGTGCAATCAGAAATGTTTGTTTATGAATTTAAACTGATCGAA